AGAAAATAAGTCTGCTGCTTCTCCTTGATATGAGCAGTGCTTTCGACACAATAGATCACTCATTTTTACTGAAAACTCTAAGAAGCCATTTTAGGGTTGATGGAAAGGTTATCGAATGGATTGAATCTTACTTGTCAGATAGAAAACAGAAAATTGAAATTGATAACGTTGTCTCTGATGTATTCAATGTGCCTTTTGGCGTTCCTCAAGGGTCGCGATTAGGCCCTCTGTTGTTTACCTTGTATACAAGCAGACTCCTTACAAATATCCATACAGAGTTTCCTAGTATTAGTTGTCACTGCTACGTAGACGACACCCAACTATACCTATCTTTCTGTCCTAACACACCGGCTGAAGATCATTGTATTTCTGAATTAGAATCATGTGTTGTTTATATTAAGATTTGGATGTTGCAAAACAAGTTGATGTTAAATGATAACAAAACAGAACTTTTGGCCATTCGTACTCCACGCCAGGTTTCTAAATTTAGGTCGCGTAGTGTATCAGTTGGTGACTCAACCATAACCCCATCTGATACTGTTAGAAACTTAGGTGTGTCTTTTGATACCCACCTGAATATGGATTCACATATCACTAAAATATGCAAATCAGCCTATTTCATGATTTATAATTTGAGACGCTTTCGAAAATACTTTGATCAGGACAGCATGAAAACTATCATGCATGCATGTGTTACTAGTAAACTAGATTACTGTAATAGTTTATTGTATGGATTGCCAGACTCACAAATTTCCAAGTTGCAGCGGGTCCAAAATACATGTGCACGACTAATTTGCAGCCTCCCAAAATTCTCTCGAATAACCCCACTTCTAAAGGAACTACATTGGTTGCCAATTCGCCAGAGAATTACATTTAAAATATTAATGATAGTCTACAAAGCTCTAAATGGTCAAACTCCTAGTTACGTTACTGAATTGTTGCACATCAAGTCTCAAACTCATGGTCGTAACCTTCGTAGTACACAAGACACATTTATGTTGCAAATACCCCCATATAAAACCAAAGTAACCATCGGGGACCGGTCATTTCTCTGTGCTGCCCCTAGATTATGGAATAAATTACCACTAGAAATAAGGAAAGCCCCATCACTAGATAATTTTAAATCAAAACTGAAAACTCATTTGTTCATATAGTATGTATAGCACAGCATTTACGAGCTCTTTGCAGCGCAATAGAATATATCCACATAGTTATTGCGCTTTACAAATGAATATTATTATTATTATAAAAGGCGTAAATATTCACTCCTGAATGATGAACGCCAATAAACCTAACAACAACAACCAGAGTGCAAATGGAGGATTGCACTTTTCAGTGAGCAGAGGGGATGTCACAGTTGCTTGTTCGGTATTGCAGACCACTTTCTTCAGCGATAATTTGCGTAGAACCAGCTTCGTGCCCGGGTTGTCATGGAGAATCTGGATGAATGTTATCCTTGCAGTGTGAGGTTCGTGAGTTATTAATTGTGAAAACTACGACTATAGTATAGATGTTGATAATTGTCAAATTTAGTGCGGAATATTTGTCATCAAAATTTTTTATTAGATGAAGTAAAAATCCTTCAATCGAAATAGTTGACCAAGATCGGAAATCATTTCGCTGTTCAGATATTTTTGACGCGCTTCTCGTCATGATATTTAATTGATAACATACAACGAAACGAGGACATCATAATCATGATTATAGACGTTGGTTATGCATATATGTATTTGCTTATTAATACATCAGTCTAAAAACGGTATCAAGCCTAATAATGTGCTATAATCATAAACAGGAAATCGTGGGGTTTCGGGGAAAATGCAAGGCATATTTGCCTTGATCCTATATACTTTTCATAAAAAGAATACAACTTAAAGGGATAGTTGAGTTCTGTTTTCAGACCGCAATTGCCTTCAAAGTACAGGGTTATTGCTCTTATTCTTATCTATGACATTTCTAGTGCCATTTGAGGACCTAAAATTGCTATAAAGGTAATTTTAGACCCCAAAATGTGTGAAATTTAGCCAATACGATCATACAAATTCAGCTCATTTTCAAAAAAATACGGTGACCGTTAATTAATTAACATGGGCCGGCTGGTTGGGCTTAATATAACCAACACGAAAAGGCCAACAAAAAAAGCCAACATCGGCATTGGCTGAAATACAACGTAAAAGGCGCTATTTCGTTTTTTCAACGGCTTTTTCAAGTTATCGAATATTTGTGGTGGTACACAAATTATGAGAAATGGTTATATTTGTGAATATTTCAGCCGTCTCTGAACCGATTTTGATCAAACAAAGATGATATTGCTATTTAAATTGTATGTTCTTTCAAATTTGACACTCAGTTTTTCATTATCTCACAAAAAATTATTTTGTGTAGCGCCCTCTGCAACAGAACTCAACTATCCCTTTAAGTCGGTGTAATTACGAATTTGCTTTCCCATAATATGAATTAAATGTTTATTAATAGCGGTAGAAAATCATCGGAGCAGTCATTTAGGTAATTCTTTAACAAATTACGTATAAACAAATCAAAAGGTTTAATTGTCGAGATGAAAATGAGCTTGTCATAGAGATTTTTTATGCAAGTTAATAATAACATTCATAATAACAAATACTACATGTATATCATACTGAAATTTCATACCCTGAATCCCAAGAAGCATAATTATACTGCAGGCAGTTCAAATTTGGTTGCATTTACTATTGTTGTAAAATGGATTTCTTTCATGTCTTGTATTGCCCTCTATGATGCGATCACTGAGCTAATTATTGTCTTTTCAAAGGATTGTAGAATTTAGAGTTTCAATTTGTTTTGTGTTATGTTATATACAGTGCGTCCCAGAAAAAAACGAAACCGAGAATTATCAATGTTTTATCATAACTTAATCACAATTATAATTTAATAACAAATGACACATATTTGTAGAGCTTAGATCCTCTTCTTTCATTTGATGCAACTCGTATGATGCATATTTTAAGCATGAGTGAATAAAATCAGTTTGAAGTGAAGGAATCAAAAAGTCATTTTGCGGACTGTATCTGAATTTCAAAGAGAAACCCATTTTTTAGAAAGTTCAGTCTCTGCCCCTTCATAAAAACCTCAATCAGGAAAATGAGCAAGGAATAAGAAAGTTCTGTTTGTTTAAAGTAATGCTTGCATTTCCATAATTTTATTAAACGAATTCGTTTTCACTGGCTGCCTGTCGTAGCAACAAGCAGACTTGACAAAATAATTAACTCCGTTTCGTTGACGATCAGCCAAAGACGACAGACTTCATCAATTGTAAAGTTGTATGACCTAGTCCTCTCTTTTCCCATAGCCTTCTTCCTTCTTCCTCATCTTCTTTTCTACTCTATATTTTTAATTGTTTGAGCACATAAGGGGCGGCCGCGCCCTGCCCCTCCCTTGTAGAGCCGCCCTGATGATGTTACATGAACCTTAAGTTGCCGAGTATTTCTCCGTACAGTTGGGGATATCGAGGTAATGTGCAAAGATTTTAGGGTGGAAACGGGGGTATCAATTATGTGCGAGAAATTTACCGTGTAATCGGGGATATCAAACGTGTGCGAGAACTTTACCACGTAATCAAATCTGTGTTATTTTTTAGCAATGGTACCCTTAAATAAAATTTTAAAGGCAATGCGTATAATTTTGTTTTCAATGATATTTTATTTTCTCCATGGAGGCATTTTTCCAAAAGACCAGAACAAGAGATGGCGGTATTATTTAATTATTTGTAAGCGTTTCTAAAAGCATTTCAAATAGCCCCGATTTGGAAATCGGGGCTATCTCCGATTTACCCCTTATTGGCAGGTGTGTTACAAGAGCACACACACACACTCACACACACGCGCGCACCCTCACACACACACACACACACACACCCACACACAGGTAATATACCATTGATATTGAGCCAAAATCTGTATACCGCCAACTCGCTCTCTCTCTCAAGCTCTCACCCCATTCCGCCACTCGAAAACCTTTCCTTTATCCAGCCTCTTGTTTTCTTACCTTTCCCCACGCCCCCACATCTCTCTCTCTCTCTCTCTCTCTCTCTCTCTCTCTCTCTCTCTCTCTTTGTCCTTTCATAATATATATCCATTACTTCATCTTTCATTATTTACTCTCTTTAACAGCTCCGCTCTTCGGTCTATATATATACATACAGATGAATATATATATATACGTATACACACACACACACACACACACACACATGCGCGCGCGCGCGCACATTTGATTCACCATCGATATTGAGCTAAAATCTGTATTCCAACAACTCGCTGTCTCTTCCAAGCTCTCAAACTACTCCGGCACTGGAAACCTTTTCCTTTATCCAGCCTTTTGTACTCATACGTTTCCTCACTCCCCCACTTTATCTCCCTATCTCTCTTCTTATGTATCCATTACTTTATGTTTCATTATCTCCTCTCTTCAGCAGCTCCTCACGGTCTTGCCATCTATCTCTTTCTTCCTTTATCGTTTACTACTTCTCCTTCTCACTCGCCTCATTTAAATTTTGGCCATTTACCTATTCTTTAGCTCTCTGGCCCTTTGTTTGATGAGATCTTTAACTTATTTAAGGTTAAAATTTAAGATTAAAAGTTAGTTTATGTTTGCCTTTCGTGGACGTGATCGTAGACCTAGGGACAAGTTGAATTCTGAGTAAACGGAACATTACGTTTATCAGTTTGGTAGATCTGTTCTACGCAGAAGTTCTCCCAAGCATAATTAATGGGTAGAGTAAGGTTAGTGCCAAGCTAATGTCGCATAATCGCAGGGGAATTTATTTACCATGGGGTTGGCGGCTCTAACGTTGTTATTGGCTTTTCTGTTTCGATTTCTTGGATGCGATCAAAGCCAGCTCGAAAAAACAGCTTCTCTTCCGAAAAAAATGTTTGATGAAACAGCCCAAATACCTATTGCATTGTTTTGTAACTCACTGCAAGACCACATATGTTTTACAAAGGCAAGCTCTACAAGTTAAATAGGGTTCAATTGAAATTTTATTCGGTAAAGAATTCGATATTTTAATGGCACTTTTAGAATGTGTTTTATGACTTTAAATACCAATAATACACGTCGTTCTTGTATTTCTATCCAATACAATTAAAAATCATATTACATTCTTTTTGAGGTTATCATCTGCAAGGCGAAAGAAAATGTGACGTTGTTACACACAATTGAGTCTCCAATACGCACTTCAGGAATAATTAGAAGTAGATGATGATTTGAAAAAGGAATCAAACGCAATTATGTGTTATCTGTTACACACTTTTTTTTTTTATCTCTGCTTTAGGGGCCCGGCCAGCGTCACCACCTGAAAATCAAACACCAGAGCAGAAAATTTGTAATACTAAAAAACGTCGAAAACTAAGTCAAATATCACTAAATTGCAAAACATATCGATAAAGATACCATGATCGCCACAACTGGTGTTTTCGAAAAACCAATGTGAAGGCAATACCCCCCCCCCCCCCACCCGAGGACAATTCCCCCCGATACAACCTGCATTAGTTAAAACCAACTTATTTTCAGGGTGGATATTCGACAGGAAGTCATTTCCGGGCCGGGGGGGGGGGGAATTTTCCTCCGGGGGTCTTTTGCAGGGATGGCGTAATTGTCACCTTGGGTTATTGACCAAATGGGTAATATTTACACCATTATGATTATTACTATTATTTTCATTATTTTGATTAGTATTAGGACTATTATAAGCATGATTATAATGTTTGTTATCATAATAAGAAGGAACAGCAGTATTGTTTTTATTATTATTAATGATAATTTTATTATCATTATTTGTGTAATTATTATTATTATTATTATTATTATTATTATTATCATTATTATTATTTCAATGACTACAATTATAATTGAATAATCCATGCAGTCTACACTCCCATAAAATAGATTCGTAGGCTAATTGGAACTGCATGCAGGCACACGCATACTTTAGATTCATAAAACATACCGAGAATGAGAGAGAAAAGAGAAATAGGAATTGTACCCACCTAGACGTAGAGGAGCTTGTTGGGACTTCCACTTCCTGTGTTAGAAATCTTGTAGTTGGAAGTGTTTGCCAGCATATTTGAACTGGATCCGTAGCAAGCAAGGGCACCTATAACATATGACAGTCAATAAACAAACAGAAAATAATTTGAGTCATGCAAACATAGATTTCCGCTCCGTAGGCACAAAACATTAAATATGAACCATGTGTGTCAGGGAGCGTACTATAATCCATTTCGTAAGTACTATCTGCGCATGGGCAGATAAAGGTCATTTCTGATAAAATTGTAAAACCCATCAAGTTGAATAAGTGCTCATGTGATGTAATCATTATTCATGTGGTGCACCTGCGGTACTCTTTATGATACAACAGGGCAAACAAAAGCCTTTCATGAAGCACATACATGACTTTGGCATTGATTAATCTAAAATACACAAAGTGGGACTTCTCCATGAGTAAAAGATCTGTGGATATTTGGGGTCATTTTACCCATTTGCTAACTACAAAATGGTCTATTAGGCCCATTGCACACGATCTCTTTATCTTGCTCGATCAATGATATTCAAGAATATGAATTCATAGAAGATGTGCAGACGCAATCTGTAGCTCAGAGATGTGCTGGACAAGTGCAGCGTTCCGATTTTGTCCGAAAATCAACTTCGACAGAGCACTAGCATTTTAAACATAAATTGAATCAAAACATAGAATACTTTGACAATCAAGAGCAATTCAAGCATAATTTTAACATAATAAAACCAATAATTAACTGCAGATGTACGTGGGAAATTATCTCATTATATAGCATGGTCTTAGTAATGTGGTTGAGTTTGGAAACAAGAAATTAATTAAAATCCATGCATACCAGCAACGTGTGGGCAGGCCATGGAGGTTCCGCTGATTGTTTTGGTAGCACTGTTAGTAGTATACCAAGTGGAGGTGATGGAAGTACCAGGAGCAAAGATGTCTAGGCAGCTTCCGTAGTTGGAGAAGGAGGAACGCTTATCGTTGCTGTCCGTAGCTCCAACAGTGATCGCCTGCAATGTTACAGTGTTTTGTTCATTTAAGCTTTTATATCAATGAGAATAATGATGATAATGGCAATTAAAATAACAATAACGTTAACAAACAAAAATGTAAAACTTCGGTTCGATTCCATTCAATTTAAAATATTTAGTAAATAGAAAGTAATAGTCCGAGGACTAATTGCAAAATATTCACAATGTAAAAATGTTCATTTAATAGGATCATTGATTAATAAACAAAAGTTATTAAAGTACAGAATAATTACAAACCAAATCACAGTTCGGAAACAAAACGTTTATAGTTGTGCAAAATAGAAGTTAAAGACTATGTTGATGATACTATTACTACCATGATTACCACTACTACTAATAATAATAATCTTAATAGTTTTTTCATATAATAATGATGATAATAATGCTGCTGAAAATAACAGTAACCTAAATAATAATCACGATTTTGCTTATGCTATTCGTTTTTGTTTTTTGTTTCAGTTTCCGGCAATTAACATTGAGCTCACTAAGAATATCTGGAATTCAGCATAGTTTGAATAATCAGTTAGATGTTTGTTGTCATAAGGGTTTTCTTTACCAAGAAACATTTTACTTGGTGAAGATGTCCACAGCTTTCGATGCGGTAATTTTCTATTTTTCTGTCTTTTTGGCAACACAACTGAAACTGCTTTACCAACCCTATTCAATATTTTCTATTGAGTTCTGTCCGCGCGTTTGAAAAATTAAACTGAGTGAAGGAAATTGGAAAAGTTTAATAAACGGATGAAGTACATAAGATTGTTTATAGTGACATGTATAGAAAAGTAGAAAACACTGCAGACCTTTTTAGAACAACAATAATTCGTAATTGTTTACACATATCAAAAAGTCTAATACGAAAGAATAAATAAACTAAACAATGCTGATCTGTAAGGGCTAGCATGAATAAACGTTAAGACAATGGTTAGACTTACGGTAGAAGCACGAGCTGGAGAATAATTGCAAGCATTCGCGTTGTCATTACCAGCGGCCACGGCAGTTGGAACTCCTGCACTGACCATGTTCTTGACGGCGTTGTCCAGGGAAGTTGAAGCGCCTCCTCCAAGAGACATTGAGGCAATAAGATTCGAATTCCACCTTGCAGCATCTATTACATAATTGATCCCTGTGAAAAGGAATAAAACCCAATACATTAAGAAAAAAGAAAAAAAATACACGGGCGTAAAAAAACAACGAATATTAATGTTTTGACACGTTTGTTGTAAGCTTGGCGGATTCACTCCAGCCCCGCCCAAGTCGGTATTTTTCAAACATTTACCGAATGGATGAAACAATTTGTTATCATCCAGGATTAATCAGGAAAATGCCTGTCCTTCCAAATCTTAATAAAGATTAAAAAGAGGAGATGAAATATATATAGAAAAATCTTTCTATCGTCATATATATATATATATATACGTATTTTCTTCTTTGTCTCTTTCTGTTTACTGTTATGAGTATATATTCATGATTTTTGTGGAATTTTGTTGTTTTCAAACAGGGCCTTATGGAAGACCACCACTATTGGTAGAAATACAAATAATAATAATAATAATAAATGTAGTACAGAAATATATCTTATATTTTCGAAGTATTATCAGAGGTTCCAGAATAGGTTCCAGAATTGAGATATCGTTACTTCATGTTATATCACATTTTGCTGACAATATTGACGTGTGTTTTACCACTGATGACACCACTGTTGCTGCCAGAACCCACACAGTTCAGAACCTTGACTCCCCTGATTTGGACTGATTTGGCAACACCGTAGGTATTGGAGCCGACCGTTCCAGCGCAGTGAGTTCCATGTCCGTTGCAATCGGTCTGTTGTGCAAAGCAATTCGATTATGTTCAGGTCTATTTTTTTAATCCCACTTCTTGGGCAAATGTACATGAGTAAGGCTACAGCCCATGCCCTCACTGTGAAACTGCAATTATGTCACTTACTGCATAGGTGAGTGTAACGTCAGTTTTGAATCTAGCATTATGATATAACCTGTTTCGCTTGCAGAATTCCTATGCTAATAACAGAAAATACAATTGTCCAAACAAACATACTGCACAAAGAAATTCATTTTTTTTCCTACCCGAAACGTTAAATACTCAGCACCAAAGGAAGGCAATCGAAAATATATACACATGTTACTCACGTTATCTCCGCCAGCATAGTTTGCCACTTGCTGCGCACGACCACTGAAGTCATTGTGGGTCGCCCTAACGCCGGTGTCGATTACATAAACAGTTTTCCCACTCCCAGCTCCTGTGAGAGATATAAACAATTATCATAAACGTCATCATCATCATCCATCATTTTCAATAAAAATAAATACGAATAACAAGCCAAAAATTCTTAATAAAGACAATTAAATTGCCACCCTCCCTCACACAAACACCTCCACCCACCCACACACAAACTCACCCACCCACCCACCCCCACACAAAAACACTGCTTACTCAGTGGATGTCTGCTAAACATTTTCAACTCAAGAAAAATATACTTATTAAGTAAGTTTACCAGGCTGCCAAATAGAGTTACAATTTTAACAAGCTCACGGTGGAGAAGAAAACAAATCTTAATCAATCTTAAGCTACTCCCACTTTAAGAAATGTGATCCCAGCTTTCCCATTCTACTGGCTATTTTCTTTTCCTCATCCTTATACTTAAAAATGCTTTCTGTTTTTGTCTTTATCTTTTCTAAGATGTGCACATCTTTTCTAAGTGTGCACACACGCGCACTCACGCACATACACACACACACAATCAAACGAACGCATAATAAAAACATCTAGCGAGGCAATTCAAACGGTTTAGACTGTCAGTACCTTTTGAACTCCTTTGTAATGTCGTACCTCTGACGTTTCACACACGTTTTGGCCCGAATTCACAAAGCAAGGTTTGAGCTCAGACCAAGGTTTGAGCTCAAACCTCCTTTTGTTTCGCCAAACCTCCCTTTGTTATTTACAAACCAGGTTTGTAAATAACAAAAGGAGGTTTGGCGAAACAAAAGGAGGTTTGAGGTCAAACCTTGGTCTGAGCTCAAACCTTGCTTTGTGAATTCGGGCCTTTATGTTTGAAATATTCACCCCTAATGACTCTTTATGTTAAAGGATTGCGCTGTCTCTTACCGTTATGTGATGAATATTTGTTGTTCAGTGGAAGACTTCTTTGGTCGACACGATCCAGGCCCCATGTGACTTGAGCACGGTAGACACCATCTTGTTCAACATACTCAACGGCGGGAAGTCTGCGGACCTGGGTGAAGGATGCATATCATATACATTTGATAATATCGCTATATATTCCTTTGAAAAAGACTGCTGTCGGCGTAAAAATATTGCATTCATTTCAAAATGAAAACGGACAAGTATTTTTCCAATAATGTGAGGTCAAATTCGCACGAACCAACGGAAGGAGTATTTTTTCGACATGAAAATTGTTAGTAAGATTGACAAATTAGGATAATAGGGGTTTTCGATTAATAGGGAGCGTTTTTAATGCGCAAGATATGAGTTCCTTCCAATGAAACTGCATTCCCCAAACAATTCGTTTAATTTCACGTCTTTGCATAATAAGCAATTCATTAGAAATGCCTGCAAAATAAAAAAAAATTGGGTGAAATGTTATGTTTGTGTTCAATTCAACGATTATAACAGCTTGCCCAAAACTCTGGTATAATACCATTTTTAAAACTACACAGCGAAACGTTATTTTCTACAAGGTGCACTGCCAGCGGATGTTTTCAACATTCCTTCAAAAAAATTTATCTAAAACAAAACGATGAAAAGAAATTTAGAGGTTTGGTATCTTTTCTCTCCTGCAAAGTTTCCCATCGAGCGGTACCGGTGAATTTGCCCTCTATTATTGGAAGTATGCTAGTCCGTTTTAGGGCCATCCTGTCTAATGAAATACCTCCAGCCCAAAGGCAAAGTTACAATAAGCCCCCTCTAGATAAAAATATAAACAAGCATGTGATTCCCAGGGCAGCAGCCAACAATTTTTTATGTCTTGAGTATTTGAGAAGCTCGGTCCTGCTATTATTCTTGTGATTTAATAAAACTGTGTCTGTTTGCATGAAGTACATTGAGAACAAAAAGTGCCTCTAAATTTTAAATGTTATTGGAAAAAGCATTCATCCTCGAATCCTAACACTACAAAGAATGATCTTCAATTACTGACGGTAGGCCTTCTCTTCTCAATCCAGGAAAAGAAGAGTTTCATTTAAACCCGTGTCTCAATCCCCCTCTCTCCTCGATGCAGAAGCCCACACGAGAAGATAAACTGAAACCAAAACTAGGAAGGTGGCTATTACTTACAATATCGAGGATATCATCTTCGAGCTCGGCAGCGAATCCATATATGGCGTCTCTCATAATGTTACCAACCTTTCCGCCGGAGAGACGAACGGTAGCGGCCATTTCATCAACATCGAATTCTTCCTGCAATAGGAGTTGATAAGATGTTACATAGCCCTTTTTAAAAGCCTTACCCATTCCTACGTCGCTTAATTTCGTGTCAAGGTCAGTACTTTTTTTGAATTGCTGTTTGGAAAGGCACATCGAAAAAATATATTTCAAAGGGATTTGTTATGAAGAAAGCATTTTGCTTCATGTTTGCAATGATGTTGAGTCTCCTATACACGGGGCCTCCTTTACGTCCTATTTCGAGGGAATGGGATTTTTAACTGTAACCTAGCCTGTGTCTATGAAACAGGGGAACGCAGGATTCGGTCTTCTACATGGTTTGGATTCGAACCAACGACCTTTTGTTCAACAGACAGATGCTTTACCGATTGAGCCATCTCCTGGTATAATAAAGGACACATGCATATTCCGTTCTGTTATCGCTTGGTAAATTTAAATGCACACTACGTTGGAGCAATTTAATTGGTAACTTTCCCGATCAAAATATTGTTATTATTAATCTAATTTCTTAATATAGGTGGAGAATATCGAACGAAAGAAAAGGGACTTTGTCACTTGCCCCCAAAACACCATTCCATACTTATTATTGAGTGTAGAATTTATTAATATATGTATTTAAAAAACATAGTTTTCGTTCAAATAACAAGAGAGTAAATCGTTTAGTTTTGCAAATCTTGAAACAGTTGACTCATTATCGTCAGGTAATACTTGATAAGCAGCGAGATAATTAGAGAAGTCTGTTTACTTTGTAATGTCAAAGTCGTGATGTATTTATGAACAAAACAAAACTTTCTCTTGATCTCGGTTTCAGGATACTGGCGGTGACGTTAAAATTATTTACTAATACTTACATTCAGCTTGATGATGTACTTTCCTGGGATAGGCTCAGAGTTCTCCAACAGAGGGGCCAGTTCGGCAGTGGCAACAGCCACCAACAGAAGGGAAATGAAAAAACGCATCATGACTGGAAAAGAAAAGACACAAGAAGTAATGAATACCTGATTGAGAAATGTTTCTGAAATAATTTGATAACAGGCGGGAATTTTCTGAAAAAAATCTACACTATTTGTTGATGATATCTGAATGTCTAACCCTAGTTTGGATGTGCTGATCATTCGGACTCTTCCTTTGAAGGGTCAGAAAACATATTTTGCCCCGTGTATATGAACAACTTACCAGATTCTTGGCCTCGGACGAGTGATGATCTGGAAGAAAGCTTCGGTTGGTCTGCAGAGTGATGATCTAGTAGAGCACTGATCAGATCTGGTGATTGGCTAGGCATGATGAGCTGTATTTAAATCTTTTTAGAGCAACAGATGGAGCTTTCCCGAGGATCGCGTGATGCAACGAACTGGGCAAAGGTGAGAAAAACACGTGATCAAAATGCAACCCAATCAATAAATTGTATTTCTATTGTCTGTTCTTTAGTCTCATGAGTGTCAAAATGCAACCAAGCAAGATTTATCATTTATTTTGTCTCTCTTATTATCTTTACGAGTTAAAAGGCGTAGATGCATGTCTGAATTTGGGTATATACCTCCTTTCATGAGAACAATCTGATTAGAATGTATTTTCATTATTATCTGGTAGTTTTTAACGTTCGTGTTTTATTATTTTGTCGGATTTACGCCTTTAGGTACTTTTATAGCGTATTGTTTCATTGTAAAATGATAAATAACAGTTCTGGATATTGAAGATATTGTTAGATATGTGGTATATTTCTCGTCAGCTGTTGAAAGTTTAACTAAAGTAGGCTTAGTTGCTTCGCCTGCATTTTAAAACAGATCCAGGATGACTGCTGTATTAAAGATGGAGATTGAAACAAATCAAACCATATTGTTGTCACTTACTCTAGATATTAGTAAATAACGGTATTAGATATAAAGTATGTTTTACAGATACTTTGTCCCTTTTGCAGCAAACATCAAATTTTGTAGAACTTTGCAGGAATAATGAATATGTCTTCTATGTTCTTTCTGTGAAATTAACTCATTAGCAGTGTCCTAGTATTCAAATTATGCAAGGAAACCCGTTTACCATCTTGACTTCACTGTCATACACTATTGAGTGACTGACCGACTTTTTTTCTTTGGTAATAACATACATAAAATGAGCTGTAACAGGTACATGAGCACTTGTCTACATCAATAACCCACTACTTGTAATGGCCAAAATTAAACTGATTGAACCTTTGTGCAGCACAAAACGTACGACCATTTGGTAAAAGGGTTTGAAAATCAGACTATTACTTAGAAGATTGCAACCACTTAAGTCAATTCGACAACTAATGGTCGTTATTTTCCCACTCAAGGCCATTTTCAAGCCCTTTCGTTTTGACGGAAGATTAGTATTGTCTTTCAAAGCCCGTGGAATTTAACCTTTTCATTTTTTGGCTTGCAAACGGGACATAGTACCTTTATAGTATGCCTCATAATGCTGATGCTAGCTCTTATGGTTTGTAATCATTATTAATTCTTCATTGGTGATATCAATGAATATTGATCATGGGTTCAGCTTATTCATCTTTCGATGAAGCGCTGGAATACACACATCTTGAGAAACTTGAAGATAGAAGGATTCATCTTTGTCAGAAATTTGCCCAGGCCCCCACGAAATCTAGCAGTTTCGATAGTTGGCTACCCCTTTTGAGACAACAGGAAAGTTTCCGATCCTGAAGAAATAAAACCCACTACAGAAATGTATACTATTATCAAGATCTATTAGGAATAAATCATTGTCAAATTCATTCCATAAATTGGGGTAAAAAAATTATTCCACCTTATTGACCAACCATGTATAACCATAGAAGTAAAATTTCTTATTATTTATATTATTTGTCTAACTGAATATTTTCAGATTGTCAGCCTTTTATTCCCTCCCCATTTTGTCTTGTGCCAGTTATGTGTTGTGCCTATTTTTGATGTGCTGTAGCCTTTTAATATTTCTCATATTTTCCCTCTTTTCTCCTGTTTTGTCTAGTCTCCCAATTTTGTGTACACTTCTTGTTTCTTATACCATCTTTTTCTTAATGTATTCTTAGGTAGTCACAAATGTAAACTCCCATCATGTTTACATTTTTGTTTATTTATGTACCAACCAATTATTTGGTCCAGAGGGGACCCTAAAACTTATAAGCCCTGCTTTTACCAGGGTTGCCTCGTCTTTCTTTTGTTTCAATTTGTTTTTATCATTGCCATAAGTTTTTGTTGCATTTTAAAAGTGTAAAAGAAAGACGGATTAATATTTTATCTTATCTTATCATCTATTTGTACAATGTCAAAAAAAATGATGGATTGATTGACGCATTTTCTTGACTTTTGAGTAACTAAAAATTGTGATGCTGTTTTTTCCAATTATCTCATTTCGGTGATAGGAAAATTATAATTCAGAAATTATTTCTATCATATCTTGAGAACAGACAGATGTCACCGTTTGCTGGTTAGGGTTAACGCTTTATCGTGTTCGAGTTCCTTTCTGCACGTAGGCCCACGGTGACCAGACGTTCTGGAGATTTTAAAACTATTTCGACCATTTTGTCCAATGTCCCGTATTGAACCACAATCCTTCGTTCGCTCGCCAAATGTTAGAAACTTGAAACTCGTATTCGTGCAGCTGAAATTTTTAACGCCAAGATTCCAGTATCGATGAATCGTCCTCTTCAGGGATTCATTAATGAGAAAGCCAGATAAATTGTGAAGGTGGATTGTCGCCACCGCTGGGAATAGACCTACAGCGTCTCTCTCTCTAAAGACGAGATTACAAATAATTTCCTCATCTATTTTAATATAATAATAGGCATAAATTCGTGTACACGTTGATAAGTAGCTAAGAAGGTAATAGAGTACCAGAGAGAAGGCACAGAATCTGATGCACCTTGCTATCATTGATTAACCTATGTATGAAGAAACATTGGGAAAATATCTTACCAAATTAACTTCATAATTATCAATAGTGTATTTTCCAGAGTAGATTCAGGCAGTGGGTTGCCCAGGTATGTTATTCTAATCACAGTCTGATTAATTTTCTTACCATTTTGTCGGGTAATGATTGTGACAATATGGTTTTTTTCTGACAGAATTTTGTTTATATCTTCTCAGAATTGTATTGATCAGTCGATCAATCTCTATGATTTTTTAGATTGATCAAAAAAATTCTTAGGAGATATCAACTTAATCCATCAAGAATTTACCATATTGTCATAACTTTGTGGGCAAGAGTATATCTTATCAAAAACTGTTTTGTTTATAAAAATGACATTGTAATTATAACAAAGTTTGTTTGTGTTTTCGCTCGTCCGCTTAGCTCTCTCATTAATTTGCTACTAGTTTGAATATTTTTCCTTCTCCTGTGAAGTCAGGGCCTAGAAAAGTCCCTTATTTCAACATTCAAAAGATCGTCACCATGGCCTTCGTGCAATAACCAGTGAACTTTACCACACTAACCTTCTAACATACATCAAAACCATTCTCCAAGCAGTGACACCTGCCCATTCGCAAGATGCTCCTGATATGATATTTATTGTTGAAATGTTTTTAACTCCGAAATATTATCATCAAAATATATGTTATAGGTTATGGAGATATGGTTTGTCATATTTGCTCAAAGAATACAAGACACGTGAACTATCGGTTGTATAATACGTGCTCTATCCACAACTGCTCCACTGTCAATATTCTTAACTAATTGAATTCCGAATTTTATTCAAGCTTCGATCAAAAACTGTACTAAACCCCAATCTCTAAGACTAAACCTAACCGAAAATCCAATAAATAACCCTTATTCTAGCTGTACTTTTAACGAAATAAAGCCCAGAACAATGTTGTATCACTGATGCATTTCGTAGACACAATAACATAAAGAGATTAATTAGCATCTTCGCCAATAGATTTGACAAGGCTTCATGCATGGATCGGGAGCATATAGGTCTGAAATGGGATGAGGATAATGTTCACTTGTTGACTACTGGATTGTCAAAGTCCCATACAGTGTGTGCGGGCAAGCACTGAATCAAATGACCGGGGCAATAGTATATTTGTAAAACGTTTAGAGACATTTGTATTAAGCGATATTTAAAAATTAAATATTATTATTATTATTATTATTATTATTATTATTATTATACACACAGAGAAACAGAGGTTTAATTTTTACTCCCTATGGGGAGTAAGTGCTTGTCGCATAAGTGACTCCCCTCAGGGAGTACATTTACTCTCCAATGTAGGGAGTAAATGTACATGAAGGTGTAAATTTGCACCCCAAGGTTATGATTTTACTCCCTTTAAGGAGCGAAATTCGCACCCAATGGTGCTTAATTAACACCTTTTGGTTCCATTTTCATGAAAAATGGGTTCAAATTTACACCCGTGGGGTTGAACTTTATACCTTATATGATCGATTCCATACCCTGTGGGGAGTAAATCTACACCTTCCTTATGCACAGCATCAATCAATTGATCATCCCTCGTGCAATCAATCATCCATCCTTCGTAATTACCTAACAGTCACTGATTCTCACTTTTTTGTCTACGTTTCACTGGTCTATTAGTAGGAGACCAGCCTGTAGGTCCTTAGACCAATCTCTGGGAACAAAGGTTTGAAAGTGTTTTTGTGTTCCCTGATGAATACCGAACAATTTTTACTTTGGCTGCCCCCTTGAAAATCCCAGGCATTTTGTGAGGGGTCAACAAAGGTCAAACAGGGGTAGAAATTCAAATATATTCCAATCGTGCCAATATGCATATCAAATTATTTGTCTAGTCATGAGGATTTTAAAAATGTATAGTTTGCTATACCTCCGACCTTAAATGAGGGCGCTATGGTATAAAACGTTGAAAGGTCAACACACTTTTGACTGGTGGTCAAATTCACCAACACAGTTTACCTAATCAAATTGCATATCAAATTTTTCGTCTGGTCATGAGGATTCCGAAAATGTTTAGTTTGTTATACCTCCGACCTTAAATGAGGGCGCTATGGTAAAAAAAAAGGTCAATGCACTTTAGAAATTCACCAACACGGTTAACATCGTCCGATTCTAATGATTTTAGTTTCTAATAATATGTTTTCTGACATAACAAATTCAACTAAGCAACTTTTAAAGTTTAAAGTGCTTACCTTGACCATGTACATTCAAAATGGCTGCCGTTTCGGTGACAAACATTTAACAACTTCTTATCCATAGGTTTGGGGGAAATTTCAAGGTTATGGCAACCACTTTTGATTTTAAAAGTTGCTTAGTTGAATTTGTATTGTTCTAGAACGCCATACTGTTGACATGAGCACCGTCCTTTTCCTGAC